CATTAAATTCCAGTGAAATATATTTATGTTTGTGGTTGTAATGTGACAAAATATGGAAAAGTTCAAGGGGTATGAATACTTTTGCAAACCACTGTAACTGGATTTTAAACTGTAAAGAGTGTGAAAAAGCACTTTGAGACGCTTTTATAGTGATAGCACAGTCACTGTTTAATGGCAGCGTAACATGAATGTTTGTAACGTGACTTTCACAAAATGTCAAATACATCTGTTTATGTTAACTGTTGTTCTGGTTTTATTGACTTTACAGATGGGTTCTATGAGATTTCATAATGCATCTTTGTAGATATATTACCTGGCCAAAAAAAGGGAAAAAAAAAAGGTCACACACTAATATTTTTTGCACTGTCTTTAGCTTTGATTTCAGCACACATTCACTGTGGCATTGTTTTCACAAGCTTCTGCAGTKTCACAAGATTTATTTCCACCCAGTGTTGCTTTAATTTTTCACCGACRTCTTGCATTGATGATGRYAGAGTCTGACCGCTGCACAAAGCCTCCTCCAGCTCATCCCAAAGATTCTCAGTGGACTCTGTGGAGCCAATTTTATGAACACCCAAAGTGCTCATATTTAAATGAATAAATAAAACATTAGAATAAAATTTTAGAGTAACATAAAATAAAAATAAAAACTGCCATGTGGATTCTTCTTAAAMAAATCTGCATGAAACTATAATATTTCGAGTCTCTGCTTTAAACACGTATTTTAATTGCAGAGAAAATAGTTAGTACTATTGAAGATGAACAAATACTATAATGSTGCCCTTCAGACACTRAAATCATACCTGATATTCTCGTTTTAACCCTTCTGAGGATCCTGTGTCTCTTCTCTGGTGGTTTGTTGTAGTCCAGCCACAAAGCAAGAGGCAGRTTTTCCTCTATGGGCCATTTGACAGTAAAAAGAAATGAACAGACATGCAGCATTTTGGATGGTTTTGTCATGATTCTTGTGTTTTATGGTTTAATTTATTAGAATTTTCTGTTTCATTGTTTGGTCATCTGTTGTCTTATTTTCTCATTTCCTGTTTGTTTTCTCCATTTCCTGTTTCATGTTATCCTCAGCAGCTTCTTAGTATTTTTCCAGCCTGCCACACTCACCTGTCCATAGTCAGTAATCACCCATGTGCTTCCCACTCCCCAATCATCCTCAGTTGTATTTAACCAGTGTCATGTCTTCATCACCCTGTTGGATCATTGCCTTTTCATGCCTCTTCTCTGTCCATGTTTTCTTTTGTATTTTGCTGCCGCGCCAGCGTTTTTGTTTCATTAAATCAGTTTTGTTCTGCATTCAAGTCCTCGTGTCTGCCTGCATTTTGGGCTCCACACCAATCATAACAGGTTTCTTCAGGTTCAGATTTTTGCATAGAGATCAAGCAGGATCTAAGGATACCGTCATGTAGGCCTCGTGGCCCGTAGTGTTTACGCTTTTGACACGCCCACTCTTGTGACACGCCCACTTTGATTCCGCAGATAACCCCTTCTCAGCCGAGGAGGACTGATTACAAAACTACTGACAGGTGAGTAGATTAACTAGGAAGGGACAGAAAACTGAGGACTGAGATGAGTGTAACACAGAGGGAGACAGTACAGGACACAAGATAACACATCCTCACAGTACCTCCCCCTTAACGAATCATCTCCAGCTGATCAAACAAAATTTCAGACACGGGCGGGTGGAGGGAGGGAAGGCCCACTAAAGGATGGTGGGCTAAAGACAAAGACAACAGAAAATATGGGACACAAGAAAAGACAAGACAGAGGGAGCACAAAAAAACAAAAACAAATCTAAAAAAACCCCGGCAGGGCCTACCCTCTTGGAGGCGTGTGGGGCACAAAAGGTGGAGGTACCGAGCCTCACGGGAGCACAAGTGGTGGAGTCGTCAAGTCTGATGATAAAGCAGGATGTGGAGGCACTGACCCTCATGGTGGCTTGGGGTGCGCAGGAGAGAGGTGGCGTCGACCCTTTCCAGGGCACACGAGTTTGGAGGTCTCAGGGACCGTCTCATGGCGGCACTGGAGGGAGAGGTGTCTGGGACCCTCTCGGCTCTGGAGAGCGGGGCCAAGCAGACTTTGAGCTGTCACTGGACCTGGAGTAACCATCGCCTTTCTCTGACGGTGGTGGAGAGAGCCTGGACAAGATTCTGCCCAGCGAGGAGGCTTAATAGACAGGCAAGTTCCCAAGTACTTCATCGTCCTCTCCTCCTTCTCAATAAAATATTCTCAAACACACAACATGTTAGAAAATCCAGCCATCATTTGTCAGTTGAAAGACTTTTTTTTTGCAGTTGTTCAAAGAGAAAAAGAATTCTGTACACGTAGGGGTCTCTGCAGACGACTGCGGACGAGTGGGCGTGTCACAAGGAAAGGTGATTCTAAAGCGACACACCTGATTTGACGGACTTTGTTAAAGGGACACACCTGACTGGACAAGCAAAAAAAGGGGCGATACCGTACGCCACCACCTGATTGGACAAGAACAAAAGGGGCGTTACAGTACGGCACCACTTTTTCTGGAGACCCCTACTTGGGTCACATTTCTCCTGGTTAACCTTAGTGTTGGGGTCAGGGTCAGGCTGTAAAGAGATCAAGCAGGATCTAAGGATACCGTCATGTAGGCCTCGTAGCCCACGTAGCCCACAGTGTTTATGCTTGTGACACGCCCACTCTTGTGACACGCCCACTTTGATTCCGCAGATAACCCCGTCTCATTCCGTAAGCTTGATTCATTCTGGACTTTACTATTTGATTCATTAGCGCAACTAGTGTTTGAACATGGAACTGCATCCACCATCATCACTCCTAGGTAAAGGACAGGGGCACTTCACGGGGCCAATCAGATTTCAGCTGGGGCCAATGCCCCTGTGGTCCCGCCCCTAAAGCCGCCCCTAGAGTGGGCTGTACCACTTTAGCGGACACTAGAGGGGGTGCGGAACAATCCAAGTTTGTCATATCTTGGGGGGGGGTTATACATTGCTTTATACATTTTATACATTATACATTGTCAAATTCCTCCATCCATGTGGGAGTGTTTTAAAAGTAACCCTTTAGAAATGAGTCATTACTCCGCAGGAACTGCTGAAGGCTAAAGACGGAAAATTAGACTGCTGCTGGGCCTGGAAGCTGAGGCATTTCTGACCTTTTTCGAATACCAAGGCCAAAATTCTGACTTTAATCTCACAATTCTTCGTATCAAGTCTGAATGTTTTAAGTTCAAATGACAGAACTAACCGAAGAAAATATGATTTTAAAAGTAAAACTGTGCGTACTACTTTAAAGCAAATGTGTATTTCAGTTTATGGGGTAAAATTATGGAATAGTTTGGATGACGATTTGAAAAAATGTTCTACTTTAAATCAATTTAAAATGCTTTGTAAGAAAAAATTATTAAGTCTTATACACTTTTGAGTTAATGAAGAGAACAATATAATGTTTGCAGATTCTATTTATGATTTACTGTATGTGGCCGTGAAAAATAATTGTAATTATTGAGAAAGGAGCAGGTTTATACAAGGTTTTCTTCTTCCTGCTCCCTTTTCACTCATGTATAGTATGTGTTAAACGAAAATGTGTTTGTATGTTATGAGAAAAAATGTTGAATTGAGTGAATAAACTTATTGATTGATTGATTGATTGATTGATTGATTGATTGATTGATTGATTGATTGATTGATTGATTGAATTCTAACTTTAATCTTAGAATCCTGAGGAAAAAAGTCAAAATTCTGACTTTTTTCTTAGAACTCTGAGATTAAAGTTAGAATTCTGACTTTCTGGCTTTTTTCTGAGAAAAAAGTCAAAATTCTGAGATTTTCTGAGAAAAAATCAGAACTCGGTAATAACAGGTGCTCTGTGACGCTAATCCGCTTCCGTGCGTTGCTAAGGACGCCTCTGATGTCAAACTCGTCGCTACAGGAAAAAGAAAAAAACTACTTCCGGGTGAAAATCCGTCAACGAGTGTCCACGTGAAACAACAAAGTGTACAAAGTAAGCAAACTGCTCATAGTGTTTATTTTTTATAAATCAGTATGTAACCGATGTTCTTATTATCTCATTATTGTGACTGACGGGTTTATTATTTATTGTTTAAATGTTTAGCTGCCCATTATTAGCCGCTTTGCTAGCTGCAGTGCTAGCAAAGCTGAAGTCATCATGAGTCAGTTCAGTCTGCAATAATAGTTGAAGTTGTCTTGTCCTGGGCATTGTACAAAGTACCATAATATTCAAACAGTGTTTGAGTGTGCCACTGCACAGAAAGTAAACAAACATGATTTYAAAAACAACAACAACAACATGTGTTCATTTAGCTGAAAACATGCTTTTTGTGTTCTTTCTCAGACGGATTCCGATGAAGACGTAGTTTTTGTTTCTGAAAAGCCCATTCCCAAGCATCCAGAGATTACATTCGACCGGGTAATGATTCGTTTAATCTAATATTTTACTTTTTATCCATAATTATTTTAGCTCAGCTTTCTAATCAGCCTGACCGCTTAGAGTTCAGATTGWTTTGGTTGTTTGGGCTTTTTACAATAAGCCAGTGTCTGAGCCAAGGTTTGTTGCAGGTTTTTAATGCACATTTTACACAAAAAAGTCTTGAACAAAATGTAATCTCTATAAAGAATGTGTCAGAAAAACGTCTTGTCTTCACAGAAAGAGCATACTGAATACATACAGTATATACAGATTATATAGGAGAAATATTTTGCAATATATATCACAAAAGATGCAACATAAATTTCACAGAGTTGTGAACATTGTGAGTTTATAACAACTCATATTGTTATTGCAATATTCAACAGTATTTATTTTCATATTACTGTTTTTCCCTAAATAGTTCATTTAAAATATAATGGACTGTGATTTATTGCAGTCTTTTGCTTAATTGATATTGTGCTCATTAWTGATAAAGTTTGGATATATTGTTCAGCTTTAACTAATTCAGTAATAAAGAAGCATCTTGGTCTTTGACTCCTGTATAATTAAGTGTAAATGCTAAATAGTTTATCACCCATTCACTTGTAAGTTTCAGATTTTGGAATAATAATCTGATTTTCCTCAGGCTGTGTTCCAAGTTCCTTCAGTCACTATAAAGCAGACACAGTCAGGAGCTCATTTATTTAAATCAGAGGCCTTTTCATGTCTCAAACAGTGTAAAAATGCACTCACTCAACCCTATAGGAAGAAAAATAGGATTGTATGATGTAGGGGTGTAAGAAAATATCGATACACTGAAATATCGCGATATTTCATTTCCCGATACTGTATCGATATTCTAAAGCCCTGTATCGATTTTT